GGCGACAGTGTTCTAGTGTATGACAGACCCTAGATTTGACAATAAAGAGTTTACATGTACATACGGCCATGCTATGAGGTACCACTTGTGTGTCTAGTCGCTTTCTCGGCAACCGTATGGTTACCAGTAACTAGTTCTAGCATGCTCGGAAAGGAGAAGGTGGCTGGTACAGTAGCAGAAAGGGTGACCACCTGCCGGCAGACTCATTAGGCTTTTGTCGGCATCAGGTTCTCGAAGCGCCAAGAACTGTAAACGAGCCACCGGCTCTGCACATCAGACAGAGCCATATCGCATGATGCCGTGCTATGCTGTCTTCAGGTGTACGGTGCAAGAGTTGTCTTGCACGACAATGTTTGCCTGAATTCTGCTGGCTTGGTGGAAGGGTTCGCGGCATAAACCGTCCGGCAGGTACCTTTTCAAGGATCTGATGTGTAAGTGCGACGATCACTTGCTCTGGCAAGTGCATCTCTGCAAGCACAGCCCCAGAAACGAAGTACTGATGTGAACATATGCGAACCCGGTAATTCCCAGCCTGGCACAACAGAATACAGTCACCACCTCGGCGCAGCCCACCAGTAGAAATCCGCAGTGCCAGCGGATTGTCACAGCAAAGATCAACGCGAGTGTTGCAGAGCGTGGCCCGGAACAGCAGTTTGGGGCAAAGATAGCATCATCTGAAGGATCTCTGCCTAGTTCCAGAGATGCACATCCGTCGCGAAGTTGGCCATTACCAGATGCCACAGCCGCGGTTCTTACACAGAACAAAGCCCAAGCCATCACTTCTTGATTTCTACATTCTCACGTGTGGGAGTCCAGGATGGTCTTCAGGAGGTCCAGGGCTGTCTTCAGGATGCGCTGCTCGATGATGCGAAGTTGGCGCAGCCCCAGGTGCACAGGATCAAAGTCAGCCTCCAAGCAGCGCGTCACCCTAATTCGAGCATCACTAGCAATGGGAAGACTGACTCTCTGGAAAGCTTTGGCAAGAAGTAATATAGGGGCTTTAATAATTAGAATAGGGTTTAGGGGTTTATTATGCCATAATTATAATAAGGAACCCCCCGAAACCCTAATTATTGAGGCCCCTAGTCTGAGGCAACTTCCGGCAGTTCGGCCTTCTGCTCCATCTCTGCGTCGTACTGCAGCTCCTGCAAAATATAGAACCCTCTTTGCTCAGACTTGCACATGCTCGCCTGGTTCTCAGAAAACCCTAGACCCTTATCATAATCACTAATCCCTGAAACCCTACAACTACATAGAACCCTAAAGCCCTAAAGTCATAAAGCTGAAAGGCCCCAAAGCACACTAAAGCACTTTGAGAACACTGCTCTAAAGCTCCAAGACTAAGACCGAAACGGTAGAGCCAAAAAGCCATAAAAGCAAAGCCCTAAAGCCTTCAAGCCAAAACCCTGCACGAGGACACCGTGGACACCAACAGTTACCTCACGCCTCAAAAGCACGTTTCTCGGCTAAACGCTATGCGGAAGCTAGATGCTGCAAAGGTTGTGTGCGAGGCGCGGAAGCTGTCCTCGTGAGCCAGGCTGGATGTGCGGTAAGCCTGGTGGCATTCTTAGATATACTTCACCTGTCTTAACCCATGCACCATACTGCGTGCTTGTCCTGCTCAGGAGCAATATTCCCAGCCGCAATCACTTTCTGATTCGTGTTGTCGTTGCTGCGAAAAAGCTGTCATTCTTCATAACTACAAATAATCGTCACGGTGCTAAGCCTCGTCTCCGACAGATTTGCACTTGATCACTTGTCGAGAGCCTTCTGGCGGAGCTCCAGTGCCCCAATGCAAATGACCAACGCAGCGCGCGACACCCAGGCGACGCCTGTAAGGGCTTAGGGTTCAAGAGATCAGGTTGTAGTGTTGGAAGGGGCTAGATCTAAGGGATCAAGGCTCAAGGTTTACCAGGCGATGCCTCCACAAGTAAACTTAATACCGCCTCCGGCCCCTTTCCATCGCTCGTCTCTTGCAAACATTCACTCCGACAAGGTCTTTTAGTGTCATCACCAACAACATTCGTCAGGGTTCCTTAATAAACAGGCTGTACCTATACCATAACATCCCGCATAACACGACATATCAACATCAAGTAAAGAACAAGTGAGAACAAAACTCGAAGCATTTTCGCGTCAACCATTTCGATGTCCTGAGTGGTAGGCCGAGGTCCCTTAGGCCTTGCTGGTTGCACTGCAGCAAGCAAACTTTGTAGCCTGCATCGCGACGAAAAACTGTGTACGTAGTGATGATAGGATCTAAACCCTAAATTGGGAGGTTTGCTGACTCCTGCAGTCCACTTCTTCCTATTACTTCCCACAGCCGATGCTGAGCACACTCCCCGACACCGAAGAAGGCCGTCATGCGCCTAAATCCAGAAGTAAACTACACTTTAAGCCCAGCAGCTCAAAGCCCTGTCTGTTTCGAAGCCAATTCCCCACTGAACCCAAAACAGCCCCAAAACCCCCATTAAACCCAAAACCCTAAACCCTGCTCCTGGTGGCGGAAGCTTTCGGCTCCCTGCGACCATCCTCTCTGCCAAAGAGCCCTCGGCCGCCGGGCCAGTGGGCAAGGTCGACCAGTCCTGCGCGTTCCAGCAAACCCGTACTTTTAGGCCTCAATAAGATTTAGGGTTTAGGGGTTTAGGGGTTTAGGGTAATGAACATGGGGCCCCTGTGTTTGGTTTTCTGTTCGAAACTATACTGCACGGGTTCTTTATCTAGTACGAGATAAACTGGCCCTACTGAACTATTGCACACATACACACGTACAAACATACATACGTGTGTACACATGTACATATGTACACAGGTACATACATACATACACAAATACATACATGCATACATCCGTTCTCCCGATTTTTCTGAAACTCCTGTGAAGGCCCAAGATGGCCGAACCCCGTCCGAAGTCTACAGCCACATGATATGCAGCGCCACAGCCCAAACGGTTCAGGGTATAGGGTGCAGCGGAAGATCCGGGTATCTCCAAACTTCTGACAATATCCGAGTCCTCGTCGGCCATGGCGTGGCAACTGGCCGCCACTAGCAATGCCCGCAGGCCTTTCCGACTGAAGCACTTGGGCTTGAGGATCAGTACATTAAAACCTCAAACTTTAAACGCAAGGATAAGGAGAAAGGTCCTGGCTTTCGGGCCGGTGTGAACTCTGTCTTCCTAGCATGCCAGAGCAGGCCAGTCCTAAACCCTACCTTGTTGAACGAGGTCTCTCTGAAGCCTCCAAGTTGCTCTAAACTCCATATATTATATTTATATTCTATTCTATTATATGACATTATATTATGTTATCTCATATATTATATTACCTAAACACTGAACCCTAAACCCTTCATGGCTGCATGAGTTCTCGAATCTTCGGAGAAAAGCGACTTTCTCGAAACCGGAGACCGCCCGACACCACGATCCAGATGCATTATAATCATAGAGCGTCCTAGGTTGTCTCGGCCCTTGTCTGCTTTGATCTAGGGAATCTAGCGCTGTTGGGATTCGGTGCTATCTGCAAACTTTTTGCCATGCGCCTTTCACACCCCCGCTTGCTGCTGGACGCCGGCTGAGGGACAGCTCCACCCCGAGCAGGTCCTTCAGGGATGGGAAACCGAGTTGAGCTTGTTTCATCGAAGCACAGTGTGATGAGGCATCTTTATTAACAATAACAAAGGTCCCTTGGCCGGTTGATTTTCCCCAGCCCTAGAGAAAACATTAGCATAGCTACAGCACTTGTCCAGGCTACTGCGGGAAGCCGGGAACTTTGGAGGACGATCTTCGCGTGAAATTCTGGCGTGATGAACTTCACCGAGGGAGTCAGGGGTCCCGTCGTTTGGCCCGGGCCGGGTGCATACGATGTCCCAGTACTATTGTTGCTATTATACTTTTGCGAAACATTTTTCTTTATCTACATTGTACTATATTGTAATATGTCTCGTAACATGTTAACCAAAGCTCCTCGACTGTTTCAGTGCTCCTCGGAACCACCTCTGTCCAACCTACCGGGTACTCGGACCCTTAGGGCCCAAACCTTGAACCCTTAAACCCTAAACCCCTAAACCCTAAACCCCTACTTCTGGTGTCCTCCACACCATCCCATGGAGAAGGGTCCAAAACGCCAAGCCTCGGGCTGCAAACAGTCTGGGAGAAGAGGAGTTCAGAGTTTGCAGGGCTTTTTGAAGGGACCCTCGCAACTCGGACTCTGCGGGGCTCTTTCAGGATTTTAGGGTTCAGGGAATCGAGTTTAGGGCTTTTGTCTCGAGATACACAGGTTGAGCATGTGCTTCATGTGACGGCAATGGAAGGCGCGGCTCCATAAAGATACGGTGCAGGTTCAGTCGATATCCTGTTCATGTACAGGCAGGCCAGCGCTGGATTGGGGGATGTTGCCTAACACGCAATTATCTAGCCGCCCTGCCCTGCTTGTGGAGCTTTGTGTGAGAGCCTAGGTGGCCTAAACGGATTGGGCAAGATGAGGAGCCATTACTGAACCAAATGGCATGGAGCAGACTGACTCCAGAAGGCAAAAAGCTTCGTGGTGGACCTTCCGACGGAAAGGCGTGTGATCGACGTATCCCGACATATACACTTTGAAATGTATTTTTGTGCATGTGTGTGTATGTAGGTAAACTTAAACATGGGCATTTGTAAATGGTGATGATGACTATGGCGACGACGAAGATGATGATGATGATGGCGATGAAAAATACAATGATTGTGAAAGTAACCCATGCGTTGTTGAAGCAATGGTTTGGGCATCTACCTAGGTCAGCACCGACCAAGATGACCGGTGCATAGAGAAACAAAGATGTGAGATGGTGATCAGAAACACCTACAAGCCGAAGACAGTCGGCCATGAATTTTCGCAAGCCTCTTTTCCAGAGACTTAGTCTGGAAAGACAGCTAAGACAAACTCACTCCCTGAAGGGGCATAGGAGTTCCTTCTCAAGGGCAGCAGGTTCTAAGGGCTGCCCAGGGGCATTTCCAGCAAGGGAGCTCGGGGCAGCTTCCCGGCGCAGCCGTGCTGTTTTGCCGACTCCTGTGGAGAAACCAGGGCCCGACGAAGTCAAGGGTCGATTTGTGGCTTCGGGTTCGATTCTAGGGGCTGGAAGGGCCACGATTGGAGGACTGGGTTCAGGCCGGAATAGTCTGCTAGTGCGGGGTGTATCTGTATCTACTTTCTTGCGAAGGCTTTCACAAGGCCTGCAACTGCGTAGCGACTAAGTTGCTGCAACTTCTGCTGCAAGTGGGGCCTTCCTGATTGGGCTTTGTGCATTAGTTGCATCAGAGGTGGCGCAGGAAGTGCTTACAAATTACAATTAGGCTGATGGCCCGAAGATGTCTCGGGCAGACTGATGCTGATGCGACGAGACAGTTTAGTCCACAGCTATATTGTGGATTGTTGAAGGTGCCTTCCCACTACCATCAAAGCAAGAGTTCAAGGCTTGAACTTGTGCCGTGCAGGTTGCTGCACTGACGCTACGCTCTCGCCTCACATGCTATAAGACATGAACCACCCGACAAGGCACGGCTCCGTGCAATCGTCGAATGTATCTAGCATCTCCATGGCTGCTGCTTCGATTCAGAAGGCAGGCGACGGATCTGGCTTAATGAGCTCGACCCTTGAAGCTTTGCAGCACCAACTGACGCAAGCCGGTGCGAGTGCCTGCACCAATTCGACAGAAATGGTCACCACCTGCATGCAACTCTGCAGAATTCAGAAACCCCTCGTTGCGACGGGGTTGCAGCTTTAAGTGCTATTTTTGGGGGCCTTGGAGGGGTCATTTTTTGCCAGTGCAGGGTTAGGGGTTTTAATGGCTTGAAACGCTTCTCCTTGCAAGGGCCAGAGCCTCTGAAGCCTGCAAGTTCTGGGTCCTTGAGGCTCAGGTGCTTTTTGCATCGTACTCTGGCTGGAACCCTTAAACGCTTAGCTCCTCCACAATGAACTCTGAGCTCAAAACCCTGATCTCTAACCTGAAATCTACTGAGGCCGGTTGGAAGGGCAACCAGCAAAGGACGAAACATGAACTGCGGCGGCTGCACCATCATCATCCTCTTCCTCGACACCAGCATCAGCACCACCATGTTTGCTTAGCGTACTCACGGTCAGCAAGAACAGGCGCAATCGTCATCACTTGTTAGTTCCTTGTCATCTTCACAAGAACCGCTGCCACCAGTACAAGTGCAAGCCCCGTCATCAACCGAATCATGATCCCATCCCAGCCGCGATCACAACAAACATCATTGCTAGCATCATCGAGCAAATGATCACCATATCCTTCCACCGTTTCGACCACCATCTTCAACATCAACAACACAACAACATCATGACAACAGTCACCAGAATCGCCACGATCGTCTTTCCCTTCCCACACATCACAAACCTTGAAAAGAGAAGAACTCCTCATGCAGTTAAGTTCCAAAACAAAGAACATGTGCACGTGTGTGCGTGTGTGTGTGTGTCTGTGTGTCTCGAACTATAACATGTAATAACAGCTATGTATGTGTATATATATATACGCATACATATACACAAACACAAACACACATATCAACATTATATGTGTGTGTATGTATGTATGTATGTATGTATGTATGTATGTATGTATGTATGTATGTATGTATATGTATGTATATGTATGTATGTATGTATGTATGTGTATATATATACAATATACATACATACACATACTCTCGGGTTCCGCCCCCCCCCTCCCATGGTATCTTCCCCACCCCAACCCCCACGCGTATGGTACCGTGCACCCCACCCCTGCCCCTGCTGGTGCGGCTTGGGGTTGCCCGGCCCTGCTGCTGAGCGGATTGGGGGTGCCGCCCCCCACCCCCTATGGTACCCCACCGCTGCCTTGTGCGGAAAGCGGCAACCTGCGCAGTAGTTTCCCGCATCAGAACTGAAATATAATGCTTAATTTTGAGGGTTGTATGGCGATGGTGATTGTGGCAGCTATTCTTTTGATGGTACTGATGATGAAGATGACGACGACAGTGATGATGTCGAGCATGATGTGAAAGATGATCTGATTGTCGACTCGCGTGGCCGTCTAGAGCAGCACAACATCATGAGCGGTACCATAAGTTTCAAGAACGGCGGATGCGGGCCGCACATGCAATTGTGAACATGACTGGTGGTGGACAAGATCAGAACAAGCGCTCTTAAAGTACCACGTAACAGTAGTTGAGTCACTGATCGTGACAAC